AAACTTTTTTTTTTTTTGGTTTCCTTTTTTTGACATGAATGTATTACATTCTTTATTGGCGTGGAGAATGAAATGGAGTTTTTGCTGGTGTGTGCATAAATCTCTCTCTCTCTCTCTCATCTCTCTCTCTCTTTCTCTCCCTCTCTCTCTCTCTCTCTCTCTCTCTCTAATCTATCTAATCTATCTATCAAAAAAAAATTGAGAAACTAAAAAGATACAGAAAATAGTTGAAGGTACTTACAGGGATTTTTAAGTTCTCTTGATTCTTAACCTTGTTATGTCTTCTTGAATATTGCTAATTGTGTAAGATGGAGAAGAAGTGTTCCTATGGTGTTTTTTGTTTGAAAGCTGGTGAGCACTGACCAGTAGTAAAAATGGAGGACAAGTGTGATAGTCGCCAAAAGCAAAAAGGATTGAGGTAAAATAATGGAGGGAATTGTGTACAAAATAAAGGTAGGTAGAGAAATTACCAGAAAACTTGCGTTGATCTTGTATGGTCAAAGCTTAAACTGGATGAACCTTGGGGGCAAAATAGTAGTTTACATGTTCTCTTTTGCTCGAATTGAAGGGGCCTACCAATTTGGGACCTCAATATTCTAACATAACTTTAAACAGGTGTCCAAGATCGTTGATGGTCCAATTCAACTCTTTTTTTATGTCTAAAAATGATCTCAATATTTGAATTATTTGTCTCGATAAAATCTGTAATTCTCTTCCAGTGGAAAAATTCGCACCTACGTGGTACTTTAACAAAATAGATCACATCCGAAACACCTCGAGTATTGAATGAAAAAAATAAAAACAGAAAATGAACCCTTTAGAAGACTGTCGTTTATAATCTACGATATCAAAAAATCCCCAAATCCGAAGCTCAAACCCTAGGCCGATATCTCTGCCTTCTCCAGCGGGACGCCGGGCGCTTCGACGGAGGATGACCCATGGCTGCACTGCCCTCTCCCTGTGGTGACGTCGTGCGTTCTCTCGAACCGGCGGGATGGACGGCGGGCTGCGAGGGGTCTCGCCATTTCCTGGTCGCTTCTTCGGGCCGGTGGTCGTCGATCTCCCGAGTGGCGAGGCTATGGCGTGCGTCGGTGCTTCAGATGGGAGAGGTCGTTGGCTCCGACGGCCAGATTGTGAGGGTCGATCGGAGTGAGGATCCTTGGTGGGGTTTTGGTTCGGATTCCTCCGGCTGTGGGTGGGTCCGGCTGCTTGGGTGAGGGGTCGAGTTCTAGGGTCTATGTCCAGTTAGGTGCGTTTTCGTTTCAGTTTCTGGTTCTGGGGCCTGGGGCGAGTTCCGATCCGTATGAGTGGTCGGCCATTGTTGTTGCTGTCGTGGTTGCTGGCGTTTTCCGGCTGTGAGAAGGGCTTTATCTTGTTTCAATTTCTTTGTGGTTGTGTTTGTGTAGTGTTGTTAGTGTTTTGTTGTGTTTGGTTTGTGATTTGTGTTTTGATTTCTCCTTTTTTGGGGGAGTTCGTGTTTTTCTCCTCTGGGGAGTTCGTGTTATTCTCCTATGGGGAGCACGTGTTATTCTCCTATGGGGAGTTTGTGTATTCTCTTGTGGGGAGTTTTTATTTTTATTTAGGCTACCTTGGGTAGTCCTCTCATTCCGGTTAGTGAGCCGGTTGTAATTATGTGTTTAATGAATGAATTCTATCGTTTCGAGAAAAAAAAATAAAAAATCAACAACCTCAAAAAAGTAGAAAGAAGCAAATAAATAGATTCCAAACCTACCTAGTTTCTTATCTTGCTAAACAAGTCAAATACTCATATTAATAATAAAATAAATAATAATAATAATAATAATAATAATTATACTAAATTGATGATGCTCTCTCCATCATTCTCCACTTGTCGAAAAAGGATACGCCCTCGAGTTTGGCACGACCTCGGCATATCCTCTGGAAAGACATCAGAAAACTTCTCGAGCAACGCGGGAATGACAGATGGTGGAGACTGCTCTTCGAGCCCGAAAGGCGCNACTACATCTTCGTATCGGCATCAGAATAAACGTCACTTGCTTATGTGGACTTCCTCTTCTTCTGAGTCCTCTTAATTTTCTCCCATTTCAGGTAAATCTGATAAGATAATCCCGAGAACACCATAACCACACTTCCCCATTGCTTTTGGGACAGAGGATTCCCACTCAGCAGAGATGACACGACTATGCTCACGAATTTCCGAGTTGTTGTTATAGTTGTGTTAGTCAAAGAACCGAATCGACTTATAGTCAAGAAGATGAAATTCTGGCCAACCGCACCACACAGACAATAGAGGAGTATGTCCCAGGCAGCTTCCGGATGCTTCCGGCAGAACTGTACTGCATCGTACCCAATGCCACCTGGCCACCCGAACATGAACAGCACGTTGTATATGGTGCCCCACAAGTTCATTCCTAGCATTATGTTCCACGCGTTTGTCTTTGGGTACCTGAATGGAAATTCATATTTTCTTCATCAATCAGAACAAACCTTTAATTGAGGGGCCGCCAAAGAGAAAAACGAAAAAAATGATAATATCCGAATAATATAATGCATGTGATAGTTGTTATTTGTTTATACTATACACACTCAACATATGAAATCTTGATGGAATTACCTGGCAGTAATTGAATCCTGAGTGGCATTAGTGAACCCATCAAAAGCAAGGTTCAGAAAACAAAGCCCATATCCAAGTGGAGCATTTGGGTTTGCTAGCTTGCTAATAGTCTTCGAGCTTGTCTGTAAGTAAAAAAATATCAAGGCACAAACAGGAATAAATCAAGAAACAGGGGTCTTCAATATAATGAGATCTAAAATATGGAGATCTCATAGCAGGGCAGACCACGTGCTGTTGAATATTGCATATTTTGCATGTGAAGAGAAATTAAAAATTCGTTCCTAAATTACATGGGCTTGAAAATGAACAAAACAATGCATTGGGCAAAATTACAACATGAAAATGGTCTTTCTCTTATTGTGTTGAACATAAAACTCAATAGAGTTTCTTTACATATTACTTGAATGCAGAACAATATTAATTGATGAACTCCTAAACTGGAATTCTAATAGTGTTCAAAAAATGACTCAGAAAGTACAGTAGTGCACGCAAAAGAAAAACAGAAGTACCGGCAGATACTAACCTTTGAAAGTGCAAAAGTAGATACACCACCAGCAACCAGCAACGTGCAAACATACTCAGGAAAGGAGTACCGAATCCCATAAACTAGAGTACCCATCAGCATCACTGCAAAATAAAAATAAGCATTTATAAGAGACAGGTATACTGACTATAATATTCATCCCTCAACTTACAATTACTCAATATAACCATTATACTAGACATATTTCCCAAATTTCACTGGGTTTAAGATCTTAATTTCACTCCGATCTTTAGGCACAGAAACAAACAGCTCTTAAATGCAACAAAATCTTGTGCTAGTCTTCTCAATCTGTTCCTTATTATCTAACTGCAACGTCAAATATGGCTACACGAGATAGTGTTTCCTTTAATAACATTCATCATGCTAGATTGTACAATCGTGAAACAAATAATTAGCTTTGGAAAGGCAAAAATTAGTCAATAACTCACCAGGTATCATTTTTGAGGATTTCGCCAGCACCTACAGATAACAATATCACTAGTTCATAAGACTCGAAATATATACATCTAACCATATTGCTCATTCAAACAATCAATAAACTGGCTTAATCATTCAAATTACTCGAATCACCATCAAACCCAGATATCAAGTTGTAAAAAGTTAGTCTACTTGAATCAAACAGGTGGTGATTGAACTCTTAACCATTCAAGACAACAATCGCCAACGACTTTAGCCAGTACAAAAATAGCTTTCATTACTGTATAATACAACTTAGACCTTAGGATTAAAGTAGCATTTATGCAAATGTGCTTAATTTTGAAATATAAAGAAATCAAGCTGGCGAATTAAGAAAATGATGGATCTGTAGGAAATGCACGGACCGTTATGCACACTATTCCATACGTATGTGTGAGGGGTAGAAATCGCCTCACTAAAGAAAAAAAATGTTAATCAAGTAGAACAAATATACTCCATATCAATAACAAGTGGCTACAAGTAAGATTTCTGAAATTCATATCATTCACTACAGTGCAAATGGAGGGAAAGGAAGAACATTTCCGCTTGAAGTCGAAAGAAGCATTCTAGTCCATCACTATTGGGACACTAGATAATGCATGCATAACATAAATATAAACCAAACCAATCCAGGCAAGCGTGAAATACAATAAACCAACTAATAAAACCCTAGAACAGTGACTGTTGTCCAGCAGAACAGAACATCTATCGTGTAGCAGAAAATAAAGAAATGCAAGAATGTGTAGGATCATAAACATGCCTGAGCAGGATAGCTGATGTACTTTAAAGCTTCAATACCCATAGCAGGACCTATCGTATTTGTAATACCAGCACTCCAATAACTCCACCATGGAGCACCACTGTTTCCACCATTGGACCAAATCTTTATCACTACTCAAAAATGCACAAACGACACTCGTGAGCAACCGCATATTCATTCAGCAAAATCAAACAATTTGACAGACAATGGTTACATCACAGACTTACTTAAGAATGACCATATCAAACACACCACACTTTGAGCAAGGTTCAAGAACGCCAAGTGCTCGAACCTCTTTTTATCAGGACCAAATCTCTTTGTCGATCTAAGTCAATACATTCACCAAAATCCAAATTATTACTAAAGATATAATGAATATTACAATGTGAAAGCTAACGAAAAAACTGTAAAACACACAGAGCCAGCACAATACCCACAAACTCATCAATCCAAATCTCAAGGTTTCCCCAAAGTTATTTCTATCAGTATAAGCTGGAAAAATCAGCACACTAAATCATGTGCCTCAAAACTCAAACACTACGTCTCGGAGCTAACATAGTTGAAATAATAATCCTTACACAGTCTCCTGAAGGACGCCTTGATAAATATACGCGGCCCAAATGCCGGCGACACAAAATGCCAATAGAAACACACGGCTGAGTCCGGAGCCGTGAGACTCCATTGCAGTGGAAGAATAGACGGAAACCACCAGATCGCCGCCGTGAAGGTTCTTCCTCCACAACCCCAATGCTAGATAGCTGTCCTCCTATACGTTTTCGTGGAAACTTTTCCCAAGCTCTCTCTTTCGTTCTGTTCAGTTAATGGCCAGATTTGTATGTAGAAACTAGAAAAAGGGTGGTGGGGTTGCATATTACGTGGCTTTACACGTGGCATGTTGTGAGTGGCTGGAGTTCATCGTGGCAAAATATGATTGATCCAGAGGACGCAAAATCTCCCAGTTGACAATTTTTTTTTAACTTTTTAACTACCGTACCGGTGGTCATACCGGTCAAGTCACCGGTATGCGGTATTACCGGTAGGACCGATAATATTAATAGTATTATCGGATTACCAAATATAATGACATATATACATATACATAAAAATATATAATATTAAATACAAAAAAGTAAAAAATAAATAACCATAATCATTAATTACAACTTCTCAATGAGATAAAAATTAAACATTTTAACTACCAATTTAAATTTTATTTTCTTAAATTAGTTTTTTTTAATTTTTTTTATTGGCTGATATTTTGGACCGGTATTTTGTTGTTTTTGCGGTATGATCCCAGTACAAACCGGTATAACCATAAATTCGGTATTTTGAGTGTAATTGTAACGTACCAATGACCGGTATCCGGTATTACCGGCCGGTACGGTACGGTATTTAAAACATGGCTTTTGACACATCGATCTTCAAAATGGATGTGGATCCAGTTCGGGTCCTAACACGGATCCGGGTTGAACCGAGTAACATATTTAAGATAAAATTAATTTAATTGAGTTTTTTCTCGTTAAGAAGAGATAAATCCCCAATGCTATATTCATCATCTTATTCAGTCTTTAACTTAATTTTTTTCCACTACACTATCTCCTACAACCTACTCTTTCTATTGAATCCCCTTATATATTAATATTATTATTTTACCTTTAAAAAGTTAGAAAACAAAAAAGAATTACAGACTTCAAATCCAAATCTCTCTCATCGCCTAAAAAAATTTGCAGAATCTTCGATCCTTTCCAGGTGGTCGACGTGTTCTTCCGAGTCACCGACGGCGAGGTCGGCGCAGCGTCCTCCCTCACTCTCAAAATCAGTGCGCTTGGCCTCTCCCCCAAGAAAATGTCGGCGCTCCAAAAACCCCCAAAAATGCTGGCGCTTCGATGTGGGGTTTTCCTGCAATGCGGTGCTAGTGTCGACGAGAATGAGAAAAAGGCAGTGGTGAAGGGGAGGAGGGATGGGGGACGCCATAGATATGAATATCCATGGCGTTTGATGGAAGGTTAAATGGGATTTCCTTTTTGGTTTCCAGAAAGATGGTTTTATTGCTCTATTGGTAAAGTCGAGTCGAGTGGGGGCTGTCCGAAGGGGGAAAATGTGGACTTGCTTTGCTTTGGGTGCGGCAAAATCCACAGACGCCCACGTTCTCCATCAACGACAAAACCCTTTTGTGTGCAGAAACAGTCGGGTACGTCGTGACCATGGAGCTCAAACCTGACAAATTCCTCCGGTCCGCCGTCGACGACGGCACCTGCTGCATCCCCTGCGTACTCTGGCTCAACCAGCTCACATCCTCTTACTTCTCCAGTCACAGCTCGCCAGGTGTTCGATCGATCACCCGAACAGGCTCGAAATTTGCTGCCCAAGTTTAGATTGGTGCTATCACTAGGGTACGGGGTAGGATCACTGGATTTCGGGGTATGGTTCCGATCACGGTTTCTGATGTGGTTGTCGGGGTGGACCCCAATGCCTAGGTTCTGCACTGGCTCGATTGTGTTAGGCTCACCCAAAAATGTTACAGTAAGGGTTGTGTTAAAGGTTCTTGATTTATTATTCGTCTTTCTTACTCATTAGTTGTTAATGGAGCTTGTCTGTAGATAGATGTTAAAAACAAAAAAACAAAAAAACAAAAAACAAAAAACAAACAAACAAATAAACTAAGGACGCAATGTCTTCGTCTCATGTGCTCAGTCCTCAAGTTGAGAATGGTGGGAATGAATTTTGGTAACGTCAAACACTCCGACCGGCTGGAAATCGGTTTGCCTCCGTCCTCCTCCCCGATAGAACGCCGCGTACCTGCAAAAAACTCTCACACCGGAGGAGTTTTCCGGTGAAGAACCTCTGATGCTTAAGTCAGTATTTGGTCTACTCAATTCCCAAGAGTAAAAATAGATAAATCGTGCTCAACAAGAAAAGATCGCTCTTATTTATAGGGGTGAGATACCTGACCTAGGAGCTGCCCGAATTTGCTGAGCTGGTTGCCTAAAGTTGCCCAGGTCTGCTCGTCCGTACACACGCACACTGTGTGTGTCAGAAGTGGTTATCACCATATACCAATTGTGTTGCACCACATGTCCTATGCACATGGGGTAAATATTCCCCTGAATATTCTCCAGAAATCCCAATGGAGGCTCTTATGCTCAATCGGTTCCAGGTCGATCCTCGAATTGCTCTCAGTCTGTGAAGTGGTCGATCGAACGATCCTTTGCTCAACGAGTCAATCTTTGACCAGATCCTCCGTGGACCTGAGAACGACTTATACCCCACGTACTGGAATCCTCTATATCCTATTCTTGTAGTGTTCGACCACAACCACTTTGCTCGATACTGTTCAACCAGTATGGCCTTTTCAATATTGGATCTGTTTGGTCGGTCTAGTGAACCGGTGTACTCCTTTAGGTATAATATCCCATATCATCTAGTCCCCCCCCCCCTCCCCCACTCTGGTTAAGTCTGAATGACTCGATCTAAGAGTAAATATGTGTTCGTTTTTCGAGTTATAGCGTGTTTCTCTATGTATCGACCATCTGGTGAGTTTTCACTTATTCTTCAATCATCCTTCCTTTCCATCGTCATAATGAAGTTTAACCCTGCCAGTTGTCCTATCTGTCAGACACCCCAATCATTGCGTCTTCTTGCAATTTGTGCCCTTTTGAATCTTGTACCCATTAAATGCTCCCAACCATTGGATTTCGCCTTTAATCCAACGGCTATCTTTTCCAACTCTTCACCTTGCCTCTTTTATCCATCTATAAATACCCATACTCAGGATTTTTCGGACTTTTTCACCTTTGCAAATCCTTAAATTCGCTTATGCACTAGGATTTCACCATATCCCCCTTTCTCGACGTGTTGTTCCAACTAAATCCACAGCTTCGAGTAAAACCAAGACACCCAGAACCCAAACCAAATCTTCGACCGTCCCTACTTCTTCTAAAACGCCTCAGAAGAAAACATCGACCAAGGCCACTTTTTCCACTTCATCTCCTCGCCCAGCCGGGTGGCTGAAACTTGACAGAGTCGGCCAACCCTCGTATTGGGTTTTCATTAGTCCCGACTCGAGTGACACTTATGACAATCCGCCTGAGAATTGCTACACCTTTTTTGTAGCGCCTCATTTGTTCTGGATTATTTTGGAGATTTTTAATATTATTTATTTTATTTTATGGATTTATTTAATTCGTGCTCGATTATCATATTTGATTATGTGCTCATAAATTGTCTAATTGTGTGATTTAATAATTTAATTTTCGAGACGAATCGTAATTTAATTCTATTGTCGATCAAGTCAGGTCGGATTATATTTTAATTTTCGAGTGAACCGAATAATCGTTATTAATCGGGATTTCGAATCGATCGGGCGACCATACCGAACCATCGGTCCGAGCCACCGAACCGCATCCTCGCGCACCCGCTCGGCTCACGTCCGCAGGAATTTCGCCGGCCGAGCCATTCTTGCATGCATGACCATCTTAAGTTAAATTTTTGAATTCAAATTGTAAAAAGAATAAGGTTTTTGCTTTGTTGATCTTCTAAATCAAAACAGAAGGGTATAAATCTCTAAAAAAATCATTGTCCATTACAGACCGCTATTTCCTGAATCCACACCCCACTCCCCTTCTGTTGGAGGGGGGGCTAAACTGGGGGTTGCCAAAAAGAAATTCTTTCTTTTTGCCCCCCCCCCTTAGAGATAGAGATTTTGATATTAGAGATATAGAAAAGTCAATTATTCATCCGCTCTAAAATTGATTGGATACCTGAGCACCCAGAAATTCTCCCATAAAATCAGCCTTTATCCCCCTTCATGAGCCTTGACCAATTATTATGGGGAGGTTACAAGACAAAATTAAAAAGGGAAGACCTCCTGTTTTCCCCTCATTCTCCCTCTCTCTCTTTCGTGACTTGCCTCTCTCTCACTCCTTCACTCTCAAATTTTCAGAATCTCCCTCACACGTACAAGCACCACCTCTGGTCATCCTCCTCACATGTGCGAGTCGCCTTCGAACGCCGAGTACACAGACAATTTTCCCGCCCTTAGGAATCGAATGTCAACAAGCCTTCCCGTAGATCGAGCCTCGTTCGTTCTTCTCCCCATTGGTATTTGGTAATTTTTACTAAACTCCATGAACACCATGATATTATATGTCATATGGCTGGTAGTATATAATAACATGATTAATTTGAATGTATTATATATATTGATATTTTATGTAGTGTAGTATTGTAAATCTATAAGGTTAAATTTGAAACCCTTATGATCTGAAACTATCTCGTGGAAATCTTTTGCAATATGGAACATATTTGTGTCTTGAGCACAATGGTCTTGACTTTGTACAATTTGGAGTTATATTTTTCAAGTTATGAATTTTTGAACTTGATGTAATTGCTGCAACTTGTAAAATACGTGAAAAATTGTATTGTTGCCAAAAACTCATGAAATTTTGATATGTCCTCCCCAGATGTGTTTGTACCTTTTGTAAAAGTTTCATAATATTTGAAAGTCATTTGCCTAGGTAAATAATTAATCGTTCAAATATGCTGAATATTGTTAAATCTATGAAAAAATCAAATTCTTGATATAAATGTATAAAACTCGGTCAGTATGCTTATTTCATATGGTATTTAATGGTTAAAAATCCCAGAAGTTATTGGATTCATTTTATTGAGTTTTTGTTCAAAACGTGTATTTTTATAAAATTTGGAATAATTGTCATAATTTACATCATTATTGTTTATGCCTTAAATTTTTATATGTCATTCCCACAAAGCTTTAGTTACTTGCATAAAAATATTAAGTCCTAATTCATTCATTTGATTAGTCATTTAAATCCATACTTGTTTTTGCTGAAAACTTGTATTAATTTTATAAAATCGCATGTTTAAGTGGTAAGGCTGAAACTTGGTGATTTTGATGTACTCGGCAATGTTTATTATGTGTTCAAATTTCAAATCAAAACTCGTTCTTTTACCTGGTCATCTAGAAAATGAGGATTAATTGTCAATATGCTCGATTTATCGATTGAACATGTTAACTCTTGAATTTCAACATGATACTTAATATATGAAGTCCTCCTTTCATTTTATATAAGCGGTATAAATATTAAGTTAAGTGGCTGAGTTTTTGGTGAGTCGTCCATTATGTGCATTTTTCCATATTTGGTTCGAGTCGAGTCAACTATTCCATAATTCCACGAGAACCTTCCATGAGCCACTTAGTTGACGGATTCGACTAAGTTTGTGTGTTCTTTGGACTAGTTGTAATCGAGAGTTATCTTGATTTCGTGTAGGTGTCCCGAGGTGTTGACCTCAAATCCCACCGTTCGAATCGTATATTATGAATTTTATCGCTGCAATCAGGTGGGTTCATTTATGTTGAATCTATAATTATCGCACTTGTTATTTCGTATAAATGTTTGTCTCGATAGCTTTTGTATGCGTGAGAACCCTAGTCTAAGTGTTCCATCGATAGTGCCTTTGATGAATGCATAATCAGTGAGAGGTCGCCTGCCTGTTGCATCCGGGAGGGACGCCCCGTGCCGTTGTATCCAGAGGGGGAAAAACAGCTCTACTGTCTCCTGGAAAGGATCCTATGCCCGTTGCATCCGGGATGGGAATATTTCCGGTTACATCCTTGCCGATGTCTGGTCGGAAGGTTTGTTGTATGTATATATGAGGTTTGTGATAGGATCTAATAGGGAGTTAGATCTGGATTCTATGCATACATTATTTATAGTTATGAATCTTTATGCGAGATATACCATGCGGTAATGGTGAGTATGATGGTTATACTCAACCCCCATTGTTTTTCTTTCCTCTTGTTCCTCTTCCTATTTTTAGGATGAGCATGGTTGGTAGAGCGGCAGCGAGAGACGATCGAGTGGTGGTCTTTGGATTAATGTGTCCTTTGCTTCCGCTTTTATTATCTATGTTGGATTGCTTGATTTCCTTTGGATTACTATGCTTCCATTTTA